ACATGCACACATGTGCCAACATGAAAGTATCAGAGATACTTGTATTTTGAAGGGAATCCTTTTCCTGGCTCTTGGAGTGTCATTCGTGGTAGAAATTTCAAATCTGAGTGAGGTAGGTGCTGAACCCCAGTGTGTAAGCTTTAGATGAACATCCAAAACAGAAGTCAGGGCAAGGAGGCCCAGTTGCTTGAGGGGAACTGTGATGGTGTGAATGATAAATGTTTAAACGCTTGGTTCCTAAATAAATGATGGCCATGTTTGGGAAGATTAGGAATTATGGCCTTGCAGATGGAAGTGTGTCACGGGGGATGTTCTAGTGAGCCCTCCCTATTTCTCCTGTCTCTGCTTCCTGCTTCTTCTTCCATGCTTTCATGATGCTGTGTGGGACCACGAGCCCAAATGAACTCTTTCCACATTGCCTTGGTCATGGTGTTTTGTTACAGCACTAGAAAGATGACTAATACAGGAGGGGATGTATGAAGCATTGGCTGTGAGAAGCAGCAGCCAACACATTTTCTCATAAGAAAAGGAGCACCAGACCCTAGTGTGAGGGAGAGTCAAGGGAGGTCATAGTGCCAACTACTTGCTAGCGAAGAGTTCTGGAGTTTAATTTTTATTAAGAGGCCAACAAAAGAGTCTTTGAGGCTTCAGAGATAAAAAGCACATGTTCAGAATGATAGACAGTCTTAGGTCAGAGCAGTACTTAAGTGCTCAGAGTCTGAGTCATCCTCTAGGCACCCATTCCTTCAGGCATGAGTCCTGCCTTCCTCCCCCCTCTGACAATTCCTACCTTTAGGAGAGGGAGATGAAATGAGAAGAATGGATCCTAAAATTATAATCCAATAGCTACTTCGGATATCTGGTTATTCAATGGACCCCTAGATAGAAGCTAGCTGGATGAGCAAGCCATTGACCAGCTGGGATCTCAAAGGCATCTTTGGTGGAGAGCTGGGTGAATATATCTAACTCCAGGTTAAAGATGGTACAGGTATAGAGACACCTTAGGGTCTTTGCTTTCCCCAAGGCTGCTGGGCAGGGAATAAAGGGAGCATGAAGAGCTGTGAGCTGATTTGTCCCCTTGCAGTGACATCTCTCAGTTGCATAGGCTAAGTATCAGGAATAGAGATCCAGGGTAGCCTAAGAGTGACAGAAAGTGGCTTAAATACTCCTAAAACCAAGAAGGGCTCCACAATTGTGGAGAAGGGAATCCCTTAAACTTATCACCAGTTACGCAGAATAGAACTAGCTAGCTGACTGAAGTAAGCAGGCACATTCTAATAATTTACTTAAAATTAGGTAGTATTAAATGTAAAGCTAGACTCTGACCCACTGGTGGATCATCCTCTCCTCTGTCTGCAAGTGATTTGTTTGGATGTATCAAGGGCAAGAGGAGAAAATACATCAATTTGCCTAGAAGTATGTTGAAGTAAACTTGGATTTCCTTTTGTATTTGAATAGATCTGACCAATCATTTCTAGTAATTAAAATATGAGCCACTTGTCCAATCTTGTGAATGCAACCACACCTATTTGATAATGTCTATACTATGCATAGGCATAGCACTATACATAGATTCCGACGACACTGTTAATTCACATCAGACCATTTCTTAAACACTGTCTAGGTGTTCGCTGGGTTTCCATAGACCCTGAGAGAAAAAGATAAAGATATCCATGACCCCTTTTCTCTTTTCTTAGAGTTGTGTTTGTAACCTGATTCCTATTTGTAGGGAATCTGAAAGTTTGGGATCGTAACTGTTGGTACTGAAGACAGGCAAAGTAAAAAGACAAGGAGATAAAAGAAGAGCTGGTGAGGAGAGGAACAAGCTAGCCAGAGAATGGCAAGGCTGCACCCAGAACCAGAAAAGGGAATGCCTTATCTGGAACCCAGGGAGACACAGAGGAAGGGTAGGTGAAAGAGCTGCAGCTTGAATGCACCCTGCAGTCAGCATCATAAGAGATGGCAGTCTTCTGCTCCGCATGTCTTCCACTTGACATGAATGCAGCCATCTCGACTCATTCCCACCCCACCACTACTACCCCTGAGGGAACCTGCATGGTCTTCCCAGCATAATATTAAGATAAATAGAGAGGACTACTACAGTGGGGCATGGAGATTCTGGTACCAGAAGCGTGTCAGACTCTTGGTCATTTGCTCAGAAATTATGCATGCACTTCATGCATTTAGGACTGAGTGATGTCACTTTTGGCTTGACCTTATAGCCCTAATTTTTTTGGCCCAAATCACAAAGGTCAACTTGATCTCCCTGCCACCAAGGACCATGATTCTTCCAGGAAGTCCCCTATGCTGCTCTGCCTGCTTTGGGTGTCACTACACATCCAGACCCATTGTCACACTGGGCCTGGGGTTCTCCAGAGGCAATTCTCCATCCACACCAACTTTAGTTGCATTAAGAGAAAACAACAGAAGGGACCCCAGAAGAAGGAATCTCTCTCTAGAGCATATTAAAAATCCAACAATAATCCAGCCCTGTGGAGTAGACAAAACAAAGTCTATGGATATTAGTACTCATATTGATTTAAGAAATTATTCATATCTAAAGTTATAAAATCACTTCACTTTAAATAATTCAGTAAGGCAATAGCCACTTTGTGGTGATCTTTGGGATGCTCTAAGGGATCCAGGAAACAATGAACAAAAGTATAAACGTTAAATAAAATATCTTAATCCATCTATACAGACAACATGTCATCAGAGAGAAAGGTCAAACCTTCAATAATTTAAAGGCTTGCAAAAGTAGGGCGGCCATCGTACCTGGAAGCGCTTTCTATGCCCTAAATCACACTTGAAGGGGAAGTGGTGGCCTGTTTCGAGCCTTCTACGCTGCAGGGGTCCTAACAACTATCTGGAAGTAGGTTGGTACCCAGAGCACTTTCTCTCCTCTTTGCTTCTCTGCACTTTGCAGCACTCTCATGTATAAACCCCCACTACGGCACCAGCACCATGCCCACCTACAGCTGCCAGTGAAGCTAAACAAAATGCCTACCAGCTCATCTTTCCTGCTGCTGCTCTCGACACCTCTAGGATGAGCCAAGTCTAAAAGCCATTAAGTTTATCACATCTTATCTGCATTTGCCTTTTAAATAAACACTAAGAACAGCAAAATACATGAAATAAAAACACCCACAAATAACATCTTGTCCTCTCCCCGACAGAGGTAGACAACGTAAAAACAAAGTTCTGACTCTTTAGACTCTTTAGTATCTGCCATGACTCTTGGGAGATTACTTGCTGGATAGATAATTCTTATTTTACATACTTTATTATATGTATTTATTAGGGCCTTACTTCAGCAGTGGCCATAACTTAAAAGGGAAGGCATAATATTTTTAAAAAGTGCCATTGCTGTGGCTCAGGCAAAGAAGCACAATGTTGGATGTGGCTCCTTGGCTAGTCTGTGAGGGAAAGGCTGTGGGGCGTCTCTTATAGGTGGGAAACAATGGGAAAGGTGTTTCCTTGGGTTAGCAGCCTATTGGCCTTGAGGATTCAAACTAAAGCTCTCCTTCAGTTGTGCTGGGCATGGTTTCTCAATACTACAGCCAACACGTAACAACTGAGTTTCTACAGAAAACCAAGACTTTGGGGCGTCTCTTATAGGTGGGAAACAATGGGAAAGGTGTTTCCTTGGGTTAACAGCCTACTGGCCTTGAGGATTCAAACTAAAGCTCTCCTTCAGTTGTGCTGGGCATGGTTTCTCAATACTACAGCCAACACGTAACAACTGAGTTTCTACAGAAAACCAAGACTTCTGACACAATGCCCAATCAGGGCCCTCTGTACTGTAGTCAAGTGGATGGCGGTGGTGGGTCTTTTCTTTTAGCTAGACCTCAGACTAGCTAAAAGTCCTCAGACTCATCAGCACTGTGAAAGACTGGACCTCTGTCTGTCAGCCCTCATCAAGTGTAAAGTTTAGATCTCACTTCCAAACCCAGTGTATTGGCACAAAGTCAAGCTGAAGTCACATTAGCATCAGAGTTCCATTCCCCAGTTTCTGTTATCTTCAGTGAGCAACTTGGTAATGGAGTTCCCCTGCTAAGACCTCTCTCCTTTCAAAAGCCCCCAATGAAACAGTCCTAGAACAGCTCTTGACCGCTGACTCTCTCATCAAGCAGACAGGATGTGTTTCCTTTGACCCCTGTTTCCTGGGCTCTACTTGGACAACAGCCTACCTGGAAGGCGTGCCGTCAGTCCTAGGGCTGGGGGTGGCTGAGTGTGTGTCTAAGGACCCCAGTGTGGGAAAACTTAGTTTTCAGAGTGCTGATGCTGGGAGGTGGTGGGGTTGTAGGGAGTAGGAACCCAGTGGGAGTTCAGTAGGTCATGGTTGACAAGGTTTGAGGTGGTTCTGCACTAATTCTCTTAAGAGCTAGCTGTTATAAGAGTTCTTTCCCATACAGAGGTTTCCCATCTCGCTGTATGGTCTTTTTGTACAGATATACCCATCCCCCAAAATATTTACTATGAGGCCCTCACTTTATAGTAATTGATGGCACACCATACCATCAGACTTCAGAACTAAATACACCTTCTTTCCTTACCAAGTACCCAGCCTAGGCAAATTTGTTATGGTAATAGCAAATTAACTAATATAGTTCCCCCACTAACTTTAATAAAATGGCTATTTCCACTTCCTCTCAATTTAGAATGCACATACTTAGATCTCAATCACCATGTTAGGAGAATGCTCAGGCCACCCTCTAGAAAGACTTAAGTGGGAAACAGGGCTGGTAAAGACTTGGAAACTGAGCTAGTCGTTTTTTGAAGTGGATCCCACAGTTATGGCTTGCTTTCCTCACTAGACTCTGATCAAATCTCAGATTCATGAATAAAACAAGTGAATATTATTGTTTGCAGCAGATAACTGTGGAGTGATTTGATCTGCAGCAGTCACTCAGCAAGCAGAACACCCACCCCATCTGAGGACTGAGAGAGAGTGCACAGTAGACGGATGACCTAAGCAGGTCCCCACCCTACCTCCTCACCTGGCCGATGGGCCTTTGGAACCGCCATGTTCATCACTCGGCCTCCATCCTGAGGTTTCGGGGGAGACGCAGTGAATCTGCAGATCCCCGATTCGGAAGGGGTACTGGAGGTCAGACTGTCCGTGTACTCGTTTGTCCCTGCCGTCAACTGCTCGGAGGACGTGTCGGATATGAAACACTCTGTGATGGTGAACTTGGCATGCCTCAGCTGTTCTTCCATCTTGGCATGTTCATAGGCCCTGGCCAGTTCTTCGTAGGTAGAGGAGGCACTTTCTGTGGAGACCATGCTGCTCCTGGCTCGGTCTGTACCATGGGGGAGAGAAAAGAGGGGGGATGACTTAGTTGGCGGCCTGCATGTGAACCAACTGGATGACCTTTGCTGTTCTCTGGCTGTAATGTACAGAGGCATAGGACCTAGGGGAGGCTTAAAACTATCTGAGGATTCGTTTTCTACTACTCTGAAGCCAGTTTCACCAACAGAGCTCAGGGACTTTACATCAACTCAGCTTCTGTGGTCAGATATCCCAGCACTGGACATTTTCATACATAAGCAAAGATATTTGCTTTGGGAGGCAGTTTCAAAGCCACAGCTGCCCTTCCTACTCTGATCCGCAAACACATCTGCCCAGCAGAGACTCTGTAATTGGCATGGATATTCAAATTCAGTGGTTCAGCTCCATGGGAAGGAAGCTGGGATGGGTCTTAGAACAGAAGGCAAGAGGCCGGAGGTGGCTGAGTCAGTCAAGTGCCTGTCACTCAAGTATATGAGTTTGAACTCCAATGCCCATGTAAAAACTGCATTTAGTAGAGGCAGGAGGATCCCTGGGGCTTGCTGGTGAACCAGGTTAGCTGAATTAGTGTCAACTTCTGCTCTCCTTGTGTACATGGGCGTACACACACACATTATGCACACATTCCGAAGACTGACGTTTTCACAAGGCAGAAAAATGCCTGGTGTCCAGGATGTATCTTTTATTGTTACCTCTCTTGACAGGAACTAGAAAATAGGACAAAAACCAGTACAAACAGGCCTTATGATAATAACAAGGCCATTTCATTTCTGTTAAAAAGCACCCCTGCATTTTACATCTACAGCAAAGTTTTGAATTCACCTCCATGGAACTCTGAGAATCTTCTAAGAGAAATAACAGACATAAAAATAAAATCCCACAGTGACACACCGCCTTTGGAGCCCTGTTTTTGAAGTGCATTGTGAAGGAAGAAAAATGACCTTTCCTATAGCTATTAGATTGAGATATAACTTCTTTTCAAAGATTAGGGAAGTTCACGTTGGAAGTGAAATCTTGGTGGTTGATACCATCAACACCATGGCTTGTTTACCTTCCAATCAACCTGGTTCATTGCCAAAAGGAACAGCCGATGTTCCCTTATAGGGGGTGCTGTGACCTTGTTATGAAAGGAATGTCAAGTTCAGGCACTTAGTCCTGGAGGTGGGAATGGGTCAGATGCCTTCAGAGTGCAATCAGCAGTTACTGCCATTGCGTGGGTGAGGATTTAAAAGTGTCTCTTTCTCTCTGTAGGATAGAAACTAAAAGCGGAGAAGCAGCATGGGTGGGAGACCCAAGACACCTGCAAGAGATGTTTCAGTTAAATCCTGCAGAACCCAGGGAGGTCTTTCATATGGTGAAGGCTGCACAGTTGGCTCGAGAACTGATAGAGAAACGGGTGCCATTTGAAAGTGACCTTCACGAGACAAGCTAGGCAGGAGGGAAGAAAGGCTCCACAGGTTCCCCTTCTCAGGGAGTCTGGGAAACCCTGCCCGTGATCAGGGAAGAAGAATGCAGGGCCCACCTGTGTCTTGTGAAGGGCTGACACTGTAGCTGTCACTCTCCTTGTCCACGGATCCTGTAGCCCTGGGTGTGGGCAGTCTCCAGTCCGTGGTGAGGGTGTGTGCTGAGATGGTAGGGTGGGGTCTGTTGAGTGTCCACTGGCTGGCGTACCGGTTTCTCGCTGTCGGTCCAGCTTTCGCATTCCTCCTGGTGGTGGGATCTGTAAGGAGTGAGAGGTAATGTGTATCTGTCTTCAAGGGTTAAGTATAGCACACAGCTGCTGTCCCCTACCTCCTGCTCCCTCACTCAGCCAAGCCCCAGGGAAGCCTTTCTTGGCTTTTCCCATTGAAAGTCCTCTTGCTTTCTTTCATGGCTTACCAAATTGACCAAATACTTTTTTTTTTTAATTTAAATTCCATACGCAGAGGAACAACCCATTTGGGTTTGGAAACTGTAGATAGGTCAGAACCTTGTTTGTGGCCACGAACAATTGTATGACCAGAAACATTCATTTAAACTTTCTAAGTATCAACACCTCCCATAAAACGAGAAAACTTGACCAAATGTATGTGAACAAGATTTTCTTTCTAAGGTTCATTCAGCCTCCAGGGCTGGTGTAGACTGAATTACACCCTGTTCCTTACTTCCCCTCAAGTTTATGTTCTCATCTTGACTCCACAGATGTAGAATGTGATCTCACTTGGAAAAACAGTCCTTTCATGCAGGATCAGTCAAGATGAGGTCAAACAGGAAGAGGGTAGGTCCTCATGACGGTGGCTTATGAAATAGACCCAGGAGATGATTGCCCCCGGCAGAGAACACAAACACTACATCTGAGTTCAGAATGTCCAATAAACAGAAGCTGAAGCCTTATGACACTGACTCTGGAAGACTTGTGGTTTCATATTGACTCATCAGTTCAATTTTCCATCCAGTTATTTAAGCTGAAGTCCCTGGAGACAAAAGACTGCATCTTCTTTCTGGTCCAGCATTCTCTCAGCACGTGATAGCAAGTCTCTCGATGAGCATCATGGGAACTTTGATGACCAAGACTTGGGTTGCTTACTATTTAACTATTGATCATATTATCTGGATAACATGTGTTCACATGTCAGCAGGCTGCTGTCAGGGATGTGTGCCTTCTTTAAATCTGGAACTGAAGGCAACAGGCGAGTAGGGCAGAGTGCTCTTAACTCAACCCCTGTGAACTAAAAAAAGGGACATACTAGTGGCTACCTGTGTTGGACCCTAGAATGGGTCAGCATATTACCTTTCCCGAAATTCTGTGGACCAGGGGAAGTGTCCTGTTCCTGGAGTGATTTTTTTTTTTCTGGGATTCCAACTGAAAGTAGCCTCGGGTCCTGGAGGAGTCCTCCCACTTCTGAATTCTCTGCGTCTTAGAATGGCATGGTCTGGCCACTCTGTTCTCATTGCTGATACAGCTATCTCAAAGGAGCAAACTGAGATCTAATTTTTGACACTGCTGCCTATTCTCAATTACATGCTCCCATGAACCTGAATGTCTCTCCACAGTAGAGGCAAGGGTCTGCCTTAGGAGCTATCTCTATGGCCCACACTACAGCCTGAAATTGCTTCATGGATGAACAATGGCAGATTAGGCATGACGTAGCTCTTAGGCACTGTCTCTCTCTCTCAGCCAGTTGTAGCCTGATCCTGGCTGTCTGGGTCTGTAGTTAGGTGGCCACAACCATGACTTGTCTGTAATCCTTGTTGGAACAAGAAATGCTGACACTGGACATCAGGGGAGAGCCTTTGTGTGTGTGTGTGTGTGTGTGTGTGTGTGTGTGTGTGTGAATGAGAGAGAGAGAGAGAGAGAGAGAGAGAGAGAGAGAGAGAGAGAAATTTTCCCCTTTGCAGGTTTCTAGTTATTGGTATTTGAACCAATCCATCATTCTAAGATTCAGGAGAGGAACATTAAGAAGACAGTCAAATCAATACATTTTAAGATTCTCTGGGTCATCAATAGACCCAGTCCTGATGCATGCTCTCAGCTGCATTGATTTTATTTTATTTATTTATTTTTTTAGACACAGTTCATCTCTTGCAAAATTTGGTAGAAGAAGGCTTTATTAGAAGACAGTTTTTGGCCTTGATGCGAATGCAGATGAGCGATGTCCGAGTGTCAGAGCCCAGCGGACAACAAGGTGGGAATGATGACTGTGCGTTTCCCAAGGAAGAGGAACATTCCAGAGAGGTCCTCCACAAGACAGAAAAACAGTGTCACGGGTAGGAGTCGAAATGTCTTTGATAAGTGGAGCTTAAATAAGTACAGCTTGTTATTTAAATGCTAATGAGTCTTTTCTAGAAAATTACCCAGCCCCTTATGTAAGTTTTGAGGAATCTCGTGCTTATTCTTTGGGTTTCTTGCAGCCACTCTCGTAGAGCATTCTTGACTTTTCTCTTCACCTGGATGCTGGGACTGGGGCAGATTCAAAGCCCCTACCTGTCTTTTCAAGTCTCCCACATTCTTGCCCTGTTTCCGGTGTTTGAAAGATGGCTCCTCAGTGGGAGGGCACAGGCCTTCCTTCCCACAGCCCCCTCCCCCACTGAGACCTCCCTATTTGGAAAATTTCTATTCAAAGCTAGAACTCTTTTCAAGTTAATTCTATTCATTATCCTTTCTTTTTCTTTTTCTTTTTTTTCTTTCCCCCTGGATGAGGACAGTGCTGGCAGTGGCCTGAAATATTGAAAATATAGGTCATGGTATTAGTTTTCTGAGCCATAGGCCACAATTCTGTTCTGTGCTATGTAGGTGTCCCAGGGTTGGAATTGTGTCAGGATGTGGGAAGACAAGGATACTTGACACATTTTTTTTTTTTTAAATAACCCGGTTTGGGTGACTATTATTTTGTATCTTAACTGGATGAGGTGTGACAGCTTCCAAGACAGAGATGCGAATACTTGCATTCTGCTCAGTGTTTTCTTTGCATAGTTACTAGCTCATCTAGGGATTTTTCTGCCCCTGCACGGCAGATCTTTGCCTGGCTCGCAAGCCTCTAATATAAATACAACTTGGTGATTAAGCAGCACGCTTGCTAAGCAGCCAACGAGTCAGAGGGCAAGGGCTATAAATACCTCCTGGCCTCTCAACTCTGGGTCTAAATCTGCATTACGTTTCTGCCCATTGAATCAAATTATTTTAATTATCCTGAATTTGGGATCAGAGAGGATTGTGTGGGTAATAGGTGGTTACAAAGCATGTCACGTGTGCTGTGCTCACTGGATTAGTCTTCTTTTAATCCCCTGCAGGCCCTGTAGATGAGGATTCAGCAATGCATGGGGAGCTCAGCAGTCTTCTCATGCATGTGAGTGGAGCTGACCAGTTCCCTATTTAAATAGCAAATGTTTATCCAGGACTTGTGGTGCACTCTATCGCTGGGTCACCTTGCCCACAGAAGCTATTTTTCCCTGTACTAATTCTCTAGTAACATTCTGGGTGATAGAGTATATATACATATACATGTATATTTGAATATATATCATATATAATATACTTAAATATATATTTGACGCATAAAAGTTCAACATATATATAATGTATTCAAATATATAATATGCTGAATTCAACATGTTATATATAATACATTTCAATATATTATTTATATGATATATATATATTCTACATCCACTGGTTCTACACACAAAGATTCAGTCAATCAAAGATAACACATATCTAGAAAACAAAATGTGTCCATCTTGAACATGTAGAGATGTCATTATTCTCTAACTACGATAGATAACAACTATTCACATAGGATATACAGTATACCAGGCATTTTAAGGAATCTGAAGATTATTTAAAGTACACATGAGGATGAGTACATGTTCTATAGAAATGATCTATAGATCATTGTGTTGGTTATTATTTTGTTAACACAAGCTGGAGTCACCTAGGAAGAAGGAACCTCAACTGAGAAAATGACCTCATCAGATTGACTTGTAGATAGGCTTGTGGGGCATTTTCTTAGTGATTGATGAGGGCGAGGGTCCAACGCACTGGCTGGTTCTATCCTTGAGCAGGTGACCTTGTGTAGTATAAGGAAGCAGGCTGAGCAAACCATGGAGAGCAAGCCAGTTGGCAGCTCCCCTCCATGACCTCTGCATCCACTCCTTCCTCCAGGTTTTTGGTGTGTCTGAGTTCCTGCCCTGACTTTGCTCAGTGGTGGACTATAATCCATGATGTGAAAGCAGATACTAGTCATGATGTTTATCACAGCAATAGAAAACTAATTAAGAGCCATTTACACACGACACTAGAGCAGCCATGGCTTTTTAGCAACTTGGAGGCCCTGGAACCCCAAGGAAGAATGATATTTAAAGGACGCTTGGCAAATGCTCTGTATACAAGTGAGTACATTGAATGAATGAACAACTTTCAGATAAATATGATATCCAGACCCTAAAACCTGATAGGTCATCACGCCATCTCTGGGGATGGGTGAGAAAGAATGGACATCAATTTAATTCTCCAACCCTACTTGAGTAAGTTAAATATCTTTTGATTCCTATTCTTATTTTGATTTCAGCACTCCATAGCTGATAAGCACTTGAATATCTTTAGCAGGTACCTAAGGTATGTCAGGTACTATGGCATGTGCTGGGAGCAGGATGTGAATGAGCCCTGGGTTCAAGGGTGCAACATCATTGTCATCCATGCAGGAGAAAAGATGTGAACTGAGCAGAAGACATGACCAAAGGATGAGTATTCATACACGGAAAGCAATGAATGGCACCTTGTTTACATTCTGCAGCCATGATAAGAATTTGGCACAACTCTCTGGCAGGCTAATAAAATACTTAGGAACACATATTCTGCAATGCAGTCACGTTTGTATACAAACAACAGCTTTCAGACACTCTAGTCACAAACAAAGGCTCCTGAAATACAACATGATCCTAACGCAGAGGATAGAAGAATGTTGTCTTTTGTAGTTGAGGCCATGGGGAATATAGTTGGATCATGGAAACCCTAGCATTCATCAGGACTGGATTCTAGAACCCCCTTGGATACCAAAGCCTGAAGCTACTCAAGACTCTGACAAAATGACACAGTGTTTGCACAGAACTTATGTGTGTCCTCCCACACACTTCAAAGCACAGATTCCTAATAGCACCAAATTTAATGCAAACGCTGTAGAACTCTGTTTCACTGCGTGTCTGAGGGAGAATCGTGATCAGGGAGCCTCATCTCTGAAGAGTTTGATTTGTGTGCAGCTGCATTCGCAAAGGCAGAAACCCTAGGTACATAACTGGCTGCAGAAATGAATCTCTGCGGATACAACATGCTGTAACAAACTGAGCTTATACCACTGGACCACATGACTGTGACACAGATAGGACACCTGGTCAGAGGTGATGGCAAGCTCCAAAGAGCAGGACCTGGGTTCCAGAACATTTCTGAGTTTCAAGCTTTTAAGCTGCTGCGGGGCCAGTCACACACTGTCATAATTCAAAACAAAACAAAACAAAACAAAACCCAAATACTGTTGTTCTCTCATAGTTGTAGTTTTGAGAAAAATAGTTAATGAGAGAATTAAAAGATTCCAAACATCTTCAACAGAGGGTTTTCAGGATGATGCTGAACAAATCCATCTTAGGATGGGAGGAGGGTGATACATGCATTTGAATAGCTTTCCTCACTGTCAGCATGGTTTAAGGAAACTCACTGTAAAGAAACAAACGTATTCTCAAGTTATAGTGTTTCCAGATGTTAGCCAGGCTTGATCCTGGGAGAATATCAGAATGAGACCCAAGTGCATGGCCTGGCTTGGGCAGCTGTTTCTCTCTCTCTATGGCAGCACCGCAGGGCTGTATCTACTCCGGCACTCTGGAGAGTCCTAGGGTCTTTCCCTTCCTGTTCTCTGCTGATGGGCAGCTCCAGTTCTCTGTCTAATAACTGTGGTACCCTCTGTCCTGGGTCAGCACTTCCACAGAGGTCTTCCCAAAGGACCCCCGTCTGGGAAGCTTCCTCCCACTGTCCCTGAGCCAGTTTCCTTGACCCTGCATCTCTTCATTCTGTCTTGTCTTTATCCAGCATTTACTGAGGAAGAAAACATATTCCTTGTTTAATGTCTGCTTTCCCCACTAGGATGAAAGCACACATCTTTCTTCATTTTATATGCATTTCTGCCACCGAGTATGAGCCATATATGCAAAGTAAAAACCAAACAAACATTTCTAGATGCTGAATGAATGAATTCCTCCATTTCCCCCGTGATGTTTAACAACTTGATAGTCCTGAGGCACGTAGCACACCCCTCCCAGGATGCCTGACTGCTTGCTGGAGTACCTGTGTCTGTACATGATGCAAATTCATCTCGGTTGATATTTTAAATGGCATCAAAACCACTTCCCATTATCCCAGGGCTTATTCTTCATGCAGTTGGAAGTTTCTGGTGCATTCCTGTCCTTGTCTCTTCTCCTGTGTTAACTATTTGTGATTCCCTTTGTGCACGTCACTGTTCTTTGGCTATTCAAAGGAAAGCATAATTCTGGGTTGGTTTTTACCTGGCAGATGGACCCCATGTGCTGCAATTGAGGCAGGCAAGATGTGTCTCCAAGATATGTCAAATTTCCCCTGATTTAAGAGCAAAAGATAGTCTAGAAACCCAAGCAGGCACTGCCGTGAAGGGGCTGAGCTAGACTGTGGTTGGAGAGAGGTCAAAGGCCTTGAAGCATTTTAGTAACATGGCTCTTAGTTTGTAGACACAAGTCCAGGGACCTAGTAGTTGCACTCATACGCTACGTGTGTCTTCAGAACATCCTGACATTCTCAGAAGGAAGGAAGCACGCTTCGCACACGGGACAAACCGAACATGGCTTCAGCACAGCCAAAGCAGGGTTTCAAATGATTCTCGGCCCCATTCAGTGCCTTCGAGTATGACAACCTGGTTTGGGAATTGATCAGTCGCTTCACGAAGCTCACTGCACGGCATGAGCTAGAACTTGCAAACCGCAGCTTTCAGCAATGCATCATGGATTTTCCTCATGATATAATGCTGGTCTACAGTGTGACTTTGTGCAAAGAGAGCGATTAGGGACTGAAAAGCTAGGCAGCAAAGCTTCCAAAATGCCAGCAATCAGGACATTAATTTCTCACCCTTTAAGGGGATTTAAGAATAGTTTCAATTATGAAGAAACAAGGCTATCTAATTAACAAGCTAGATGCGCATTTAGGAGACTTAACTTCTTTGTAGTTATTAATTTCCATCTATTATTGATGCAAATATGAATAATTAAACACAACAAAATCTTTAGATTAACCAGAACCATCATTTTTCTCTCTGTGTATAGGAGGAAAAAAATGTAAGCTACGAGGTCAGACATGTTAGCAGCAGCCTCCTGGTTTTCACACTTGATATGTGCAACTTGGGGCTGTCTGTTTGAAACTCCACCTTCCAATAATGAAACAAGGATTCTGACACCTGCTTTATGAGCCGGGGTCTTGAAAAGTTGCTGAAGATAACACTCATGAGGTTGTTTCTCTCCCCAAATGGTACACTGGCAAGACACGCTAAAGTCAATCACCCTTCTCTTTCCCATGTAGTAGAAAATTCAAAGGATTCAATTCACTTGACATTTCTGGCAATATCTACAGTAAACCAAAACTAAGACTTGTTGGTTCGAGTTGACACACATCATTATTGTCAAATAATAAACAAAATCTCAATATCCCAATTCAGAGTTCCCCACATCTATTACTTAGGTGTGCAGTTGAGAAGCCCCACGGTTTTGTTTGCTAGGGACATGGATACTGTCAGCACTGATAACACCCACACATTCCGAGCACTGTTGACCACTCACTCGTTCCTGGCCGAGCATCTGAAACGTCCACTAGGGGCCCGGTGGCCTGAGATACTGATTGATAATGCACCGTGTGAGTTACTGTCAGTGACTTCTGTTTAGCTGCCTCTCCGAAGTCAGCATCCGTCAGCAGGACGGTGGAGCGGTCATCTATAAGAGGGGACGCACAGAAAAACAAAGTGTGTTTAACAAGGATAGGAACACATGCCAGCACTGTTTTGTGTCCATCTAAAGAGTCACACACACTTTGGTACACAGAACGGTAGGTACGCTGAGGCGGGTTTTTTCTCTCTTTGGGCTCAGTTTTTTATGAAACCAACACCAGTGGGGTAGCTGACCACTTAACACACCTCAGGTTTATGTGTTTGTCCATAGCTTGCCCGAGATAGTGTACAATGTCAGTGCTCCCAATGATAGGGTGGCCTTGTGGCACAGGCCCCTTTGGCTGCTGGAACACCCTGAGGAACTAGGGAATGAAACCTTGCAGTCTTCCACAGTGGGGCTGGCTGCCACACTGTCCTCAGCCAGAGTTTGGAGGACAAAGGAGAGAAGGGCTATCCTGAAGAAATTGGTGGGCTTTTTCCTCTCCTTTAAAGGGATGAGGCCTGCTCCTTCTGAGTTTTAATCTGTAGTACATGCTTTGACTGACTTCCAGGATGTCTCTCTTGTAAGAGAACTCTCAGAGCTCAGACTCAGGGCTGGGGAGGCAGGAGTCAGGGTCTAGGTGGATTCTGTCTGCCTCCGAGTTCTCAGGGGACCAGCTGTGTGAGGCGTGTGCCACTCTCTGTCTGAGGACTGTCATTACTTTCCACACTTACTTTAGAGTTCTTTGACATAAAAGGAGACTTTGGTTGGGATATATATATATAGTTTCTGTACATTTTCAAAGACTGTGATTCAAGGTAAGGTTCTGATTACCAGTTAGCCAGGACCTGCTACAACATGTCAGAAGGGGTGGGGGGGGGGGTCACTGATGCTGTGTTCATAAACAACACGGCAAGGCTTCTGTGCCCAAAAATGGCTCTGAACAGAGCGAGCCTTACAAAACCCAGTTGCTGTTCAGGCTCTGGCAGGGGAGGAAAGGCCTCTTGAAGTTAGAATCAAATTTCTTGGCAGAGAGCTGGGGAGGAGGCTGCCAAGCTGTCTGTGAGTGTCCCAGCGGGTGGCACAGCACAGGTTGGTGCCCAGTTGAGTGCCAGAGCTGGGCTGGGAGGCTTGGCTCTCGAGCTATCATTTGACCCCTCACAGAAAGTAGGATCTGCACAGAGATGGAGTCTCACAATTAGAGCTGGCACCAGAGGCCCTCTCTCTGCATTGGTTGGTCATTCATAACACAGCTGCATTGTGGATTCTGGTGGGCAGGTTTGTTTTTTTTTTTTTTTTCTAAGCTGAGATTCATGGTTGGATTATAAACCTGTCCCAGGAAATGCCAAGTGTCTGTCTGTTTAGGAAGTTAGCCATCCATTCCGGACAGAGATGAATGGCGGTCTAATATTTTTTATAACCCAAACCCGGATTGTTTCCTAGTAATTAGGAAATGCCATTGACCCACTATTGGGGAATTACAGAAGGCAAAGGATGGTCGGTGACAGATGATGTCGGGCAGATTGTGATGAATCTCTGGCCGCAGGTCATGGAGACATACAGAGATGACTGGTAGACCGTCTGGTGTTCAGCCAGCAACAAAGAGACCCTGGAAGCTGTGTGCTACTGACAGGCTCCATCCCGTTGTAACAGGCATTTGAAGGATTAGGAAGGTCTAAGGAGGAGCATTTCACAAACATCCTTCCTAAGTCCTCACCATATTATCTAAGGCTGTGATCTGGCCAAGCTCCCTAGTCTCCCTGTATTCTGAAGTGAACACACAGGGTGTGGCTTAGAGAAGTGCGAGGCCAAAGGTGGTTTTAGTTTTAATGCCCCACCTCCAGAGGTCAATGAGAGGCATTGTACAAACCTAAGCAGCAAAACGATAGACAACTTTATTTTTTTTTTTTTGTTTTTTCGAGACAGGGTTTCTCTGTGGTTTTGGAGCCTGTCCTGGAACTAGCTCTTGTAGACCAGGCTGGTCTCGAACTCACAGAGATCCGCCTGCCTCTGCCTCCCGAGAGCTGGGATTAAAGGCGTGCGCCACCACCGCCCGGCTGATAGACAACTTTAGAAGCAAAGCTGGCTCATCTGTCTGTACTGAGAAAACCTAACACACCCTGCTGCATTTCAGATAAAGACGGGCTTACGATTTGACAAGGACCTAAGAATTAATGGGAGTCAGCTGACCGAGGACCAGACTAGACTTGGTCATAGTTTTTCTAAATGAGGCTATGCCTGGACTGAGTTCTGATGCAGAGAGGGCAGCCTGGGCCTTGGCATTTCAAAGCCATCATCTCAAGAGACTTGTCAAGATGGTGGGACAGGGAAAGAATGAAGCTCCCACAGGAGACTTTCCCTCCCCTGCCCTGCCCTTGGAGCCTTCCTGGCAGGAGGAATTCAGGGACCAGACTGGGAGGCAGGCTGTGTATCCAGGCCATGGGGAAAGGATTGCCCTGGCAGTGAGCTGCAAAAGAGACCATCCAAAACAAATGTCGTTTATATAGGGGCAGTCCCAGTAGCTGTCTACTAAGATACTAGTCTATTTCATGGTTCTCAAAGCCTCACGGGACTTCAAGGGTGCTGAAGAATCCTGTCGGTAGGACAGCAGGTGGCAAGGGCTGGAGGAGGGTGGCGTGGTGGTAACACTGGAGGTCTGCCAGAGCCCCTGGGTCTACTTCTGCCTGGTAACTTTGCCCAGCTATGGAAACCTTTTCATGTCTCACATAAAAGCAGTTAACCTTCTTATGTGCTGATGGAAGATTGAGCAAGTAACCCACAAAAAGCGCTATAAGAACTCGTGGGATTTAGAGAGCTCTCAACAAATGTCAGGGGCCACTGTGACTGTTACAAAGAGAAGGTGACTGCTCAAGATGTTGGGTTTGTGAGTGAATAGGCTAGAGTGCCTGTCTTTTTTTTTTTTTTATGTCTTTTCTGAGAAACTGGGGCCTGGGTGTTCCTCTCAGTCAGGATGCTATGGAATGCTGGGAATAGGGAAATGCTTACATGAAGGCATTTATTTACATGAGTGTTAATCAGATTTTGAAGGCGAATTTAAAGGGAGCTGACCTTGTTGGAGTTGGCGAGGAGAGTACAGACGATTTCTAAGACGGAGCTTTAGGAGGTGGGCCCCAGAGGCTCACTGGGTTGTAAAATTTTCATCTTTGGAGGGATAATGGTCTCTTCAGGAAAGCCCCAAAGCTAGCAGAGCTGGGGAACTCTCAAAGTACATTTACTAGTATTTATTTTTCCCTTCAGTTTGTCTACTCATAGGGCAGCTAAGATATTCTATCAAGTACTTCTCATGCTCCCAGGTGAGGATGAGAAAGCATGGCTCCCGCAGCCACTCTGGGTAACAGAACCAACAGGCACCTCACCTATGGTCTCCATTGTATCTCTCTCTTCAATCAAAAGCTGGGCCCTGGGTATATCGATGTGCATTCGCAGGGTCTGCTGCTGCTTGCTTAGGGTGTCTGAAGTCCGTGTGTTCTTACTGAGAATAAAAGAGAGGACGTGTTAGCCAATCCAACTCACTGAGACATTACGCCAGCATGTCTCTCGATATTTATTGTTTAATTATGAACACAACTTGAAGAGAAGAGAGGGGAATGTTCATGACAGAAAAATGCTTTTCCTTCTTTCAAGGTAAATTTATCACAATTAGATGTCAGTAGACAAAGGAGATTCAGAACATATAAATTTCTAGTAGATGAGATCAATAACAAATCAACCTTGAGAAAAAGCCCCATTTCTTGGGTAAAAGTGAAAACGAAACACGTAGAAAAGGGACATTCCGACAGTGACATTCTCATTTCTCAGGCATGCAATACAGTGAAGATAGCAGGGGAGGAAGTCTGTGGACCAGCTGGGCACTGGACGGTGCTTGCACTAACAGATTTGTATTGATGTCTCGTGTCCTTTGGTTTTTGTTCGAGTGACAAATCACTTGTCTTGTTAGCATCTCCAGCATCACTTTGGCTTTCCTAGCTGAGCATGTATTTTGAAATAGAGAAAAAAAACTTCAATTACTAAAATAATTTTATCTCGAAATTTGTGTACCAGAAAATTACTCTGAGAGCGAATTCTCTGAAAGTAAATGGAAGTAGGTGGTGAGACTGTCTGGTGTAATCACAGCCCGTTACAGCCTGCAGCTTGAAGTTAAACTTTTATGCCGGCCGACAGAGGCCTTAATTAGCAATCCACTTTAGGGGTGGTTCAGGCTTTTTTTTTTTGAGGATTGCTAGATGTTAAAATGTTTTATAAAGCACCCCCTTCGCAAGTAAAAGGCATTGGTACACTTCATCAGTGAGACTGTTTATGGCAGCCCTATATCCAGGGCAGAGTCTTCAAAGTCTACAGAGGATAATTTCTGGAGGCAGGTTGAGGTCAACCTGATGGGTGCTTACCTCCTTCCTTCCTTGTTTTTTTGTGTCTGTATGCATGCATGCCTTTTATGCCTGTGCTGACTGTCTTCCTCAATAGCTTTCTATCTTGTGTTTTTGAGATAGAGTCTCTCTTTGAAACCAGCGCTAGTTGTTTCTTCTGGGCTACTCAGCCAGCAAGTACCCAATAACTCAGACACAGACACACCTGACTTTTTAAGAGTGCTGGGGATTTAAACTCAGGTCCTAACATTTGCATGGCAGGCTCTTTGCCCACTGCACCATCTCCCCAGCCTCATTTGCTAGTTACTCTCAAGGGGGCACCAGAAAGCTCTGCCCAGTGCGTCTCAAATGCTTTTCTCTCTAATGAAAGAATTCTTAGGCCTCTGCTTCCCCTGTTCTTCCTTACCCACTCCTAAACCAAGTGACAGATTGTTGAAATACGGAGCGGCGGGCTGTGTCCCGCCACCCAGCTAGCTTTACCCGAAATAATTACATGGAAACTGTATTCTTTTAAACACTGCCTGACCCATTAGTTTCAGTTTCTTATTGGCTAGCTTTTACATATTGATCTAACCCATTTCTATTAATCTGTGTAGCCCAAGAGCTGGCTTACCAGGAATGATCTCAACCTGTGTCTGTCTGGAGTGGGAGAATCATGGCGACTCCCTGACTCAGCTTCTTTCTCCCAGCCTTCCGTTCTGTTTACTCCGCCTACCTAAGGGTTGGCCTATCAAATGGGTCTAGGCAGTTTCTTTATTAATAAGAAATTACTCCCACATCAACAGATGGGACCTGAACCACCAACATCAGGTCCATTTTGAGAAACCTGTTGAAGCCCAGGTTACAACTGGATATATTATGTTGCCCCTTTCTTCACAAAGCACCCCACAAACAAGGCCATTCCTGGAAGGTTAACTGCTTCTCTGAGTGCTCAATCTTGAACCAAATTCCATGCTCTGCAGACTTGTAACTGGGTGTAAGTGGGTTATTTTCTGTGATTGTGCCAATCACTCGCAGCCCAAATTCAAGCCTTTTGGCCTGGTTTTTCACATGGTCTCTATATGCTTTCAAATTATTTCACTTCCCATTGCGCTTGTGGTTAAAAAAAGAAGGGAGAAAAGTGCAGAGATTCACAGAGCTGCAGAAAATGAGGAGCATTTGAGATCCTTGGGGGCCTGTGTGCCTGCCATATTTCCACCATCTGAGTTTCCACAGAAACATACGGGCAGCCTCTCCACTGTGAATATCCAGAAGACCTGTTTAGAAGCATCACAGAGGACTCGAGCATGTCCTTGCACAAAAATAGAAACACGAGCGGGTTCCTTCTCCTCAAACACAGTTCCAAGGCAGCCAGCAGCTGCAATGACAAACTATGAGCACCCGTCACAGGTTCCACTCAAGTAACAATAAATGGTCCCCTGTCACAGGAACACAGGGAGCAAGCTAAGTAACTGCTTTGAAGGTCGCTGCTGGGACCGAGCCAGTGACACTTTGTGGACAAAGACGGTGAGGTAGTGAGGGCTGGAGAGGGAGTCCTGTCTCTTAACGTAAGAACCTTGGGACCCAGGGCCTCCCCAGTGCACCCTTTGCAGGAGGCACATCTCCAGCCCTTCCACAACGTCCTTGTGATACTTGCCTAGCAGCCATCAGTAGGCCAGGCTGACCCTTCCAGGGAATCCCTCCCGCCCTAGCCCCATTCTCTACTTAATTTAGTTTTCTTGGCACCATTACTCTCCGGTGTATGTTTAATCAAGTCAATTAAACATATGTAATTGGTTTATCTTGTTCATTATCTGTCTCTCCCAGTGGAATCTCAGCTCCACAGGGATATACTCATTTGGTCTGGTCCTTACATGTCTCTAGAACCCACAACAGCAGGTGGTCAAAGGAGGAGCTTTATAAGAATATTCTAAACGTGTCAGGTTATCATGGGCAATGAACCATAAGACTTGCAACCTAGTCCCAAAGGCTGTGCTGTAGTTGATACCATTCCTGGTTTAAAATGCTGGGCTCCAACTAAGGTGTTTCATAATATTAATATTTACTGGCATGTTTGGCTTTCTATTGTTTAACATATAAAGGGAAATCCTCAAAAATTATCACCATTGGTCATTAGAGCCACAGCAAACCTTTAAACAATGTAATTAGCATATACCCATTGGCAACACCTAGAGCATTCTATATGTTTTTACTAAGAAAACAAAATGATGGTTAAAAAAAAATTGACATAAATAGCACAAGACCCAGCTGAATGTGTTAGCTATCACAATGTGACCTCTGGTGAGCCATTTGATATTTCTCTGTTTAAAATGATAGCAGCGGGGAAAGTGGAGGAAGCCTTATGACATGGTCTTCCCCAGGTCATTCAGTGACTTTATTGTCACTATAATTCTCTAAAGTCTTCATATTTCCTTAGAGCCTCATGTGTCAGAATGTGTGTGTATCTCTGTACGAGTGTGTGTGCCCTGGTGTATGAGCATATATGTGTGTGTGTATTTTGTAAGTCTGTGTGTGAGTGTGTTTATACATGTCTGTATGTCTATGAATATGAGTAAATGTGTGTATCTGAGTAGTGTGCGTGTGTGTGTGTGTGTGTGTGTGTGTGTGTGTGTGTGCGAGAGAGAGAGAGAGAGAGAGAGAGAGAGAGAGAGAGAGAGAGTTCGGGGGTACCAGTGAAGATGAACTTGCTCCAAATATGATCAAATGACTAAAGTATAAAATAACTACAGACAGAATCATATCCGGTTGTGACATCTGAAAGGACATTTTGAGATTATATGTACAGAGATGCGAACTTGAAAAGTCTAAGCTAGTTTAAATTCTAAGTTTGAGTTTTCTTCTCTCTAGCACCAGCTCTCATACTGAAGCTGGTCCTTGGACACTGACATAAGCTCGTAACTATTCAGAGCATGGCAGTCTCTGCAGCTTGGAGGCTGGTGTACACACATGGTTTTCTTTTTCTTCGCTCTTTATCTCTTTCTCTCTGTGTCTGTCTCTCTGTGTTTCTCTCTCTCCTCTCTCTCTCTCTGTTTCTCTCTCCCTGTCTCCTCTCTCTCTGTCTTCTCTCTGTGTGTCTGTCTCTGTCTCTCTGTCTGTCTTCTCTCTCTCTGTTTCTCTCTGTGTGTCTCTGTCTGTCTGTCTGTTTCTCTCTCTCTCTCTCTCTCTCTCTCTCTCTGACACATATGTGTATTTGTCTGTGCATACACATATAGAGGCCAGAGGTGGATATCAGGGTGTGTTTCATTCCCCATCTTATTTTTTTGAGACAATGTCTTTTCACTGAGCCTGAAGCTATCAAAGCAACTAGGGTAGCTGCCAGCAGGGCCCTGGTGTCTGATTGTCTCTACTCCTGTAACTGGGATTACAGATACCCATGGAAACACCTGGCTTTTCTGTGAATGCTGGGAATCCAACTTAGGCCCTCATGTTTGTACAGTAAGCACGTTATCTACTTAGCTATCTTCTCGGTTCAGCTTTTCTTTTCTTCTTATTTTTAAAGCTATTTTTACTGAAACAAATGAAAAGAAAATCTCACTTCTAGGATTGTTACCCAGCATGGAGACATCACTGCCTCTCCTTCTCAGTGAGTTCCACCTATTAGAAGTACTTGGAAATAGTTTTGTCAATCACTGTTGTTTTTTGGAGGAAAATCAAAATAGACAACAAGAATTGATAGTGGTTGCTCTAATGGGTAGCATTTCTCCTCTCTGGGGCATTTGTGAGGATGAAATGCATGCATGGACGCACGGAGCCTTGTGATGCATGGCAGTACTAAGCCAGGGACCTCAGGAGGGCCAGGTATCTGTGATTGTAGTTGGGTAAATCTTCATTCCCAGACTACTACAGCTAACCTTGCTTAGTAATCAAAGACCTGGGGGAACATGTTTCAGTAACACAGGATAAAGACAGGGGAAATTCTGAACATGTTCAGGTGGGAAGCAGAAGGCGAAGAAAATGATGTGCCCAAGGTAAGAAAGTCAGCTGTTGGCCGTGAAGACCAGGATATGAGCTTGTGACTTCATATTTTCCTCTTAACCATAGCTTACTAACTCCTCAGCTGCCCAGGAAAAAAGCAATCCAGATTAGGGACCACAACTCAGAGATCTACTTTTTATCGATGGCTATGACTAGCTTAGACTTCTTAACCACCTCCAAAACACAGTGGAACTGAATTCCCCAGTCTGTGGTGGCCTGACCAGGGAAGTTGTCAGTATAAGACTGAGCTGGCCCAGCATAACAACATCACTGCCTCTCCTTCCTAGCAGATCCCACCTCTTAGAAGAGCTTGGAAACAATTTTCCCAGTCGCTTTTGTTCTTTGAAAGATCTTCAATGTGAAGTGGTAGTGGTTGCTAGTTTTAATGTTCTTAACACTAATTGATAACCAGTGGGAAGACCATGATTCACTCCTACTCAGCAGGTGACCTTTCAACTCTGCTATCTGCCTTACCAAAGCCTATTTCTTTCTAAGCTCTTGCTCTGGGGGCCTTTTCAATGTCCATTACTTTCTAAGATCTTGCTCTGGAGCTAGCAGGGAAGGCTATGCTGGCATGCATTCTGGTTCTCAGAAGAAGCAAAACTCAGATCATTCTTACTAAACAGAAAACACAGATTATGGTTTCACATCTTTCAAGTACGGGTGTGAGTTATGCATACAGACACCTCAAGGATATTAAGAGAGATGCTAACGGGAGGGAGGGGCTAGAAAATCCACACAACTGGGGAAAAGCATCCTGCAATTGTCTCTAACTTTTCAGGAGAATGCAGAAGCCCTATTGAGGGCCAGATTATCAAAATGGCCCCCGCGGATGGGCAGCTGAGGTAAGCAGTGGTCATGCCCTATGGAGCTCCAGGCAGCTTTCATCACTTACACTGTTGATTATTTATATGACAAGAGCTTTTGCAAGAGCAGCCAGAAAGAAAAAAAATGAACTGTATGGGAGATTGCCTCATTTTAAATGTCAATTAATTCATAGTTTTCCAGCCTACATTATAAAATTTGTTCTGCTGAGTCAGTAGTTATAAGTCAAGTAGCATCTTTACTTTCTAGATGTTTCATCTGATAAGTCCGGAGGGGCCCGGATCCATCATATGAGACTGCAAGGCATCTTACTTCCTTAGCGAACAATGTGGGTTACGAGATGAGCATGGCCGTGAAGGGTTTTATGCAGATTTGTGCAGAATCTCTCACAGAAGTCTGACGTTTTCTGATTAGAACTATATCCTGAAGGAGATATTTTGAGGAAACTTGGATTTGTTTGCCTTTCATTCAAGCCCAGACTCTCGTAGCCATCTGTCCATTGGACAAATTCATTGATCTATGAAAAGAACTTTTAAATTCTACATGACTCACATAGGCCCTGTGCTCTGATAAATACCAGCTCCCAAACTCAATCACTAAAATTCAAAATGCCTGTGCCCTGCCTTTACATTCCCATTCTTAGCAAATGACGTCAACATCCATCTAATTACTGTCACCCAACATTTCAGAGTTAGCCTGGAGTCCTGCCATACTATTGCTTTATACACACAGGTTTAAAACACACTATCTCCAAAGATGTCTCTGAGAAACAATCTCGGTACACCAACGGCATCCAGTCTTCCTATGCTGCCGAAGATACTAGTGACACAGGACATGGACTCCTGGTGAATAACAAATTGACAACTTATATGTGTAGATGGACAGAAAGTTGGAGTCAACGCAGAGGATACAGAGTGGAAAGAGCTCCAACGCATCCTTTTTTTCTCCCAATCAAGGCAACCTAAAATGGCAACCCCATGTTGCCTACTAGGGACTCTGATAATTTTCTTGTTTTCCACATGCGTATTTTCCTGTTTCACCTTTTATTTGATCATTGCATTATTTTGTTTGGTTTTGTTTGTGAGACAGGGTTTCTCTATAGCTTTGGTGCCTGTCCTGGAACTAGCTCTTGTAGACCAGGCTGGCCTCAAACTCCCAGAGATCTGCCTGTCTCTGCCTCCCAAGTGCTGGGATTGAAGGTGTGCGCCACCACCGTCCAGCTGATCATTACATTACTAAAATGCCTTTAGTAAGAGTATTAGGGAAGAGGTAACATGCCATCTGATTAACCCACATATGTAACTGCTCAGTCCCACAATGCTCCCAGTTTTACAGAGTGCAGAGGTGAGATAGCACAGGGAAGGGAATGTTTGAAGGCAAGGGGCTAGGGGCTGGGGGACAGGAAGAATGCAGTCTAGGGGGCACGGAAGTGACATGCCCTTCTTCTTCATGCCATTGTCTACCACTGGTCTTTTGGACATTTACAGGTAAAGCTTGAAAGGGGGCAGCTTATGTTTGACAGTTCTTCCATGGCTCCTATTCACTGCATCTGCACATCAGTGATGAACGAGGACGCCACAGTGCTGAGGATAAATTACTCAGGCTCCAGTGAGGCCTGGAGTGCAGGGACAATAGCAATAGGAACTGGAGAACACACAACTAGAAGGGTGCAGAAGGCACCTAGGAACTGAAGGTGAGGGTCTCTCAGTCCACTGTGGCCTTTGAAGCACTGTGCACAACACATTTTCCTTTGTAGCTTTTCTTGAACTGGGCTAACTCTGTAGAAAGAAATCTCCATCTCAGAGACGGCTTACCCAATAGAAGCAAAACTCAAGCTCTCTGTAACACACCCTTGATCCCTGCTTCGGCAGCAACAACCTACTGCTTGAACCCAGCCCACAAGACAGCCATGTGGAGCAGTCATTGGGTGTCTGTGTAGTCAGCCACCCATTTACATGGGTGTTTTGGAATATAAATGGAAATTGTACGTTGAAATGAAAATATGCCACCAACTTTAGATCATTCTTATCATTAAGAAACAAGCAAGGCAAAGTGGAACTGTTCTTTGACACATGATGGCCGGGGAACGATTAGAACATTGTGTTCTTACCTCATGAGCATTTCAGCCAAGCTCTTTGCATCTGGGGAGAGAAAGCTGGTGTTAGTACAAGATCAACAACTCATAATTAATATACACTTAGAAGAAATCAACTCATTTATGTGGTCATAACAAACCCTCCAGTCAGATGGCAAGCCATTTCAAGTGCATTTGTTTACCAATGCTACACTAATGACCAGAGGCTTTATGGTTCCTTTATTTCTTCTACATATGACTCTTTTATGGCTTTTATTTATAGCAGAAAGATGCATGAGGATCCTGTGCCCATAAAACTGCAGACATCTATTAAACTTTTTATTCCAATCTATTTATTTATCACTTCTAGAAAATCCAGTTTTATATTCAATACTCAAAAAATTAACGTTTGGGAAAAAATCATTTATGTAGAACAAACTGACTTTCATTACCCATGAAAGACAAGAATGGAAAATTTAAGTCACTGTGCCTCGCTTTAAAGGGGTTCAGTCTAGAGCTCTGTGCCCTCAGGTTGGTCACTGATTTTTTTTTTTTTTTACAAACTTGGATGTTTTATTTCAAACTCAGAAATAAAACTTTATTGTGGAATACCCCTCCCCCATACCCCAAACACTATTTATAGAGACCTGGTTATCACCTCTGACACAAGAAATCATATCTCAGAATATTGTAGGACAGATCGACTTATTTGGTAACACTATTTAGAGATGGCTCTAAAGTATGATTTATGCTTTTTACACATTCCCCCCTGGCAAAAGTGAAGCTTCCTTTCCTGGAACACAAAATCCTCGTGGTCTCTGTCTCCTCTCTCTGTCTCTGTCTCTCTCTCTCATTTATTTCACTGCTCTCTGATTTTATGTTAGGCACCCTGTTCAAGGAATCGAACTTTCTGGAAATGGATTTGTTTGATGAAGAAAGGCATACACAGGGACATTTGCACCTCCTCCTCTGGGGGCTGTGATTTGCCTGTTTTGTCCCATGTGCAAAGATGTAGGGACAATCTCAGATCAATTATCTGGCGATGACCCCAAGAGATCGCTCTATGCCACCGGGCCATGCCAGTTCCCTTTGGAAGCCTCAACGTGGGGGCCCCAGCTTTGTGCACAGATGGGTTCAGTATGGAAGACAAAACTTGCCCCCTCTATTCCGCCCACATGGAAAAACACAGGAAGCAAAATAGTACCGAATCTCCCAGCTCATGTCTATATATTTGTCTGCAAAGATGAAGTAAATAGCATGAATCTCTACTCTTCCTGAATGATTTAACAAGTACAAAGTAAATATATCTATGGGATGCCAGAAGCTGGGGAGTAATTAGCTCCATGTAACACCCAACAGTGGCTAGTACAATATGCTAAGGAAGAGGACAGAACTTTACAGAGTAAATACTTGTCTCCAGCTCACACTGGGCATGTTCATCTGAGATACCCAGCCCCACACACTTGCCATTACACTACATCTTTGTTCCAGGTTAGCCACCAGCACTCCTTGGGGGCTTTTCACACTAATGTGTAAGGTGCCAAGGCTTCACAAAGGAGAAAAGAATTTTCAAGTACCCCTCTGATTGAACAGACCTTGGCTGTAGCTGGTTGGTCTCCTTCCTGGCCTACGATTACTTTAGGATTGGGCCGCAAAGCCATGCCAGTCAACCCTGAAGCCCATCCTTGAGAACACATGTCTTCCTTCAATCTTAGCTACCATGTTTTGCTTCTATCTCAGTTGGAAACTTTGGGAAAGTTGTACTAGTTGAAATTCCTGTCTTCTACAAGTTCTCTGGAACTAAGCTAAGAAGCCCAACTCTTCAGCACAGTTTGGGTTTGGGTGATGTGACCCTGGAGCATGTTCTAAGGACTTGTATTATATCACACTTGTTATCTTAGGAGTACAAGATAAATTTCTCTAGTATCACTGCATGGCGGTTAGAGATGAGGACACGGGTTCTGAGTAGCATGTCCACTGTTGGTGGCTCACACAGTTTCTCTGCCATCCTAATGGTGCTTTGTACCTGGAGAAGAGTGAGAGAGGTAGACCCCCAGGGACACCAAGGATACTAGTGCATCAGACTGGGGAGAAAGAGACTGACCTCTGCGTGGAAGGGGCCAGGAACCTCAACTGAGGGGGTAGACTTGAGTGGTCAATCTGCTCCAACACAGAGAACTCACAGCATGGGGATAATGAACTTGTTCAGGAAAGAATGTGTCTCTTTGACTGGATAGAGAGGTCATTGGCTTGGTGATGGATGGGGGTGGCCCCAGCGTTATGGAGGTGACTAGCATGGTCTGAAAGCTGCTGCCTGGCTAAGATAAGGCTGAAGATGACAGAGGGGGTAGCTGGGGATGAGAGGGCTGTCCACTGGTACTCATCATGTCTTTTACTCAGGAGGGTTGGATAGGAAGTTGGATGCTGTGTTCTCCCACCAGCTTCTTATAGGGGACCAAGTGAGAACCTGTGAGGCTTGGATTAAGGAAGCAAGTGGCCCAGGAGTGGGAGTGACATTACAATGATATTAGAGTGATATTAGAGCCCTGACAGTGGTAGTATGGACAGGACAGACAGACTGCACAGAGCCCAGGGAAAAGGCTAGAATGGGGATCCTCAGCGGGGGATAGGACCAGTAGTCTAGTAGGACATGGAACCTAGCTTTAAGTGAAGAGCTGAGGAGACCTCACCTAGAGGTGGCGCTAGAGGTGCTGGGTGGGGCTATTTACAGGCAGGCTAGGAGTCAAGTTAGGGAAAGATCTGGCAAAGACAAGGCTTGAACATTGCTCATGCTCCTATAGGAGAGGGTAAAGCCCAGTGTCACATCTCAGTCGTGCTTTCATTTAGGGAAAGGAGAGAATCTGGAGCAAGTTAGTATATCATAATAATTGTGGAATATAGGATCTTAACAGTTACAGAGGCCTACAAATTAGCTTCCTAATGAAATTTAAAATCCCTTCCCTTGGGTCACAGGCGGCTATTACAATGTGCGCTACCTTGAGGGGGTCCAGAGCTGGGGTGGTGGGTCACCAAGGTGACTGTTTCCTGTTGTTGTACATCAAGTGCCCCCTAGCATTCCAGGATACCCAAAATTCAGCGCTCCCCCAACATCTCCCCATAAGACCTTGTATTTTGTTTTTTCTTCTCGGCTCAGTTACTAACTGGAGCGACCCAAGAATCAGTGTCTAATCTATTTTTATCATGAGGGAGAACCAGAAGAGCAGCTGATTTACACGTGCCTCCCAGGGCCACACCTATGATTGACACTCAAAAGCAACTCCATGCAGTAGGGATCTGCAGCACTGAGTTGCTCATTGGGAACTCCTGTGGTGCTCTAAGGTGTCCTACCACTCTTGATTCCTGCTATGCCTTTGACTCCCTCCCTCCCTCCCTCTCTCTCTCTCTCTCTCTCTGTCTCTCTCTCCTGAACTTGTTGTGATATGACTGGACTTCCAAGGCCCTCAGCTCTACGTTGGCTCTCTGTCCCCTCGGGGCACCACTGGCAGTTGGCACCGTGGCTCTTCTCTGAGCTTGTAGCTGAACATTCTCCTATCTTGCCTGTGGTCACCTGTTCAAATACCACTTTCTCTCCCTCTTCCTCTTTGCCTCCTGGGTATAGCCTAGTCTTCAGTAGATGGGAACTGGCCCAAGACTTCTTTGGGATCCTCTTTTATTGCTGTTTTCAGACAAGGTCTTGCTATATAGTCCAGTCTTGGTTCACACTCCTGATCTGGTATCAGCCTCCTCAGAGCTGGGGTCACAGGTGGGTACCATCTCACTTGACATTCCAAGGATACAGTTGCCCTTGCTGGTACTGAAATTCTTGATACACTTTCTGTCTATAGTAATAAGACCTTCTGAGGCCATCTAAATAGTATTGCTGTTCTCATGCTTGGGCTAAGTCTTCTCTTCTTGAGTTTAAATTCTCTAAAATTCTCAAGTACTTCTCACAGGGCATAATTTCTAGGTAATTCCTTACTTTGGGCCCTCTTTTATGAAAGGGTAGTGATTTCATAATGTCCTTTATTTAACCAGCCTGAGTGCAGATAGTTTTATATGTATATATATATATATATATATATATATATATATATATATATATTCTCTTCCCACACACTCTTGAGATTGCCATATCCCTTACAGGAGCTGCAAATGATTTTCTACAACTCGTATAGAAGACTTTGCAGTTCTGCTGATTAAATGTCACTCTCTTGACTGTAGCCTTCCAAACTCCATGCTCTCTGGACTCTTCGCTCTGCTATCTTTGTCTTCCTGCCCATCTGTATGAGCTACATACCACAGTCTGCCCAGTCCTCCATGGGGCTCACCACAACTGACTTCCTTCCTTATTAGCCAACCTTGCCAAAACAGAGAGTGGGTCTCTCCCACATCTCTGGTGGCTCCTATTCCATTTCTTGATGGCTCAGAAACCAGCCTTTCCACAGCTTAAGTTAGCTCACTTCAAAATAAAAGGTTATGAACTGGTTAGTTCTTAGATGGGCAGATACTCCCCATCACCTGGCATCTCTCATTCACCTTTGGTGATCCAAAGACTCTCCACAAAAATTTGTGGGTCACGGTGGGAAGATTTTGCTTAGAAACTTAAAATGGTCTCCCTTGGGGTCTCTCAGAACTTGAACCCTGTGATCTGATTCCTGATCTTTCCTGTGGTAGTTGTGGGGAGTCTTCAGTGAGACGCCATAGCATTAATTGGTGTCTACGCTTTACTCATTGTCTTTTGAGAAGTGTGATTGTTTTATTTCAACACTGAAAGACCAACTAGCTCCCAGCAACCTTAGCTACCCTGTAGGTTTGGGGAAAAACAGCCGGCTAATCAGGGCTCTGATAATGGTTAAACATTTAGAGCTGTCTCTGTCTGTCTTTCTCTTCTCATCTCCTTTAGTCAGCCTGTCCACCCTTCCTTCTTCTTCCTCCCTCCCTCCCTCCCTCCCTCCCTCCATTCCTCCCTCCCTCCCTCCATTTTCTTCTTTTTATAATTACTGGTCCTGACGTTCTGGCTCAAACAGCCTCCTCCTGCTGCACAGCAGAACAGATGTTGGGAGGTTT